TTCTAAGTCTTCATGTCACTGCTTTAATATCTCTGCCATAATGCTAAAGTCCAGGGTCTTCCGAAAGCCTTGTCATATTATACATGATATAGTTTTCTATTTCAGATGACTGACACAAGTTCCAGCATTCCTTCTCGATGAGTGAGAGCATCAATAAAAGTGAATAAACTGGACCCAGTACATATGCTTTGTATTACTGTATTACTTGTTCTTCTATTGTTCGCATTACTTTTTGGTAGGGGTGACATGACCTGCGGACCACCATGCAGAATATTTTAAATAAGTTACATCAGTCTTCATCAAAGCGTTACCCATTCGTGGATATATATATACGATAAATTATGCCATTTATATTATTATTATTAAACTAATAATTTGGTTGTTGTTTTTTTGTTTTTTGTTTTGTTTTTTTTTTCTGGTCAAAACGTATGCAAGCTTAAGCCGGTCGAAATAGAAGTATAGCTTCCGTGTATCGTTGACTGTAATAATCGTTTAAAGATTTGCTCTGTGAAATTCTGGAAATAGTCTCGCGTGTATTAAACGCATAGATTTTTTAGGATTTATAGTAGCTCAATCTAAGCTAAATTTATAAGCATTTCTCCATTGCATTTGGTTCCTATTAGCCAAAAGGAAGAATTTATATAAACAGATCAATACCCTTCCTCCGGCGAAAGAAAAGTTGTCATAAAAGTTTCATACACACTCAAAATTTTCTGTATAACAACTTTTTCAGCAAGGCATATATTTTCTGTCTATATTTTTGAGATGAGTTATTGTATTATTTACATTATTTACATTATTCGGATTGTTGTCTTCATCTTTATTGTAATATCCACGACGTTCTAGAACAATCTACTTCGGTGGACGAAATAAAGGGTTCAGTTCGAAATTCCGGTTTTCTGAAGAAGGCCGGAGTGTACGACGACCGAAAAGTCGTGAATATGACAATAAAGATGAGGGCAACAGTTCCAACAATCTAAATAAGACATCTATTATCTAATCTAAAGTTTTTTGACATTATACTAAGACCATTCGAATTTCCAACACTTGACATAGTAACATAAAAATGAATTGAACAAACTTATTATTTTCTACTTGTTTAAATAATTCGGTACAGCCTTAAGAAAATATAAATTTAAAAATAAATTATTTCGACTTATATAGAGTGTCCCATTCAAATGCAACACATTTTAAATGCAAGTATATTGGATTATAAAAAATAACATAGAGTACCAAATATATTTATTACATATCTGATACACGCATATTATCTAAGATTTCAATAACATATCCCTGAGATAATCACCACCACGCATTCACGAAACAGCTTTCTCATTTCAATCACAATTGGCATTGCCTCACAGAAGTCTGTAACAGCCTGCAGGATCACCATTCTGGATGATCCTTGTCGCTTCCCAAAATGCTGTCGAAATTTCCTTTGCTTGCGTCAACGATGGATCTTTGTTTAATGAAGTATGTTTCCAAAACCTATGCAGTTTCTTTTGGAGCTCATGATGTTATGAAGATCCACCATCAACAAAAGAGATACCAGATACCTTTAGGAAATAAAAATATCTTGGATAATATGTTGAATTCTAGGATATCATTTATGTAATAAATATATTTCGTAGTGTATGTCATTTTTATAATACAAGAGACTTGTATTTAAAATGTGTCCATCATTATGAGTGACCCTGCATAATTCAATAACATTTTTCCGCTACACTAAGCTAATTTTTAGTAATGTGAAATAGCAGACGATAGCAATGTTTATTATAAAGTAACTAATGGCGGTCGATATAAATTATTCCTATACAAAAAGGAGGAATTTAAGAAAAAAAACTTTATAACATGAAACATTATTTTTAAATGTCAATGTGTAAAACTTCGATTAAAAATAAATAACACAGAATAAATATTTATGAAACTATGCTTTTAAATTTTAATGCAAATTGATTATCAGCACCATACATTATATACACTACTAGCAGCATAACCCGTCTTTGACTGGGTTTTTCATTACTGGGAATTTTTGCTGTTCACTTGGAGCAGTTTAAGTTTAAAGTCAGCCCACACGAAAATCAATATTAGTAACAACATTTGGGAGCAACTGAGGCACATCCCCAAATGGGGGGGGGTAACAATTTGAATGGGGGGCGGCCCTGAAAAGGGAACTGTATAATAATAAATAATATTATTGTAATAATTTAAACTATGTATTTTTATTAAAGATTTTATGAAAGATATATATCCAAGAACAGATAGTAAATAGTGAAACGTTGCTGGGAGATATAATGCCCAGGAAGTAGTGGAGAGCCATTGTCGCCAATAATTTGAACTCAAAACCGGTATCAAAGAAAAATTGATCGATATCGGATGAAAACTGTGGAAATACGTAAACAACATCCAATCACACACACACATACATACATACACACATATTTTGAGAATCATATATATAGATTTACATTCAGACTATTTCCCTCAATATAATTTTCATCATCACAATGTTCCGACTGTCCAGTCTTCTTCAGGTATATATCTATCCACGTAAGCCACAAGGAATTCCGAACTGAGCCATTTATTTAATCTATGAAATTAGATTGTTCTGGTGCCACTGGCCATGACTCGGGATATCTCGTCTAGTTCTTATTTTTAGTACTGCTAAGTTTTTTGCTCGCCATATCTCGACTCAGTCCAAGTAAACATTGCTCGATCTAGAGATTGAACTCACAATTGCTATATCACCTAAATTCACGAACCAACGCTTTAATCCACTAGGCTATTATCCCACGTAATCCGCACGTATATAGTGAAAATAACGATAACTCCCCAATCCTGGAATTGAAAACAGTAATTATCGTTCAAACATTCGCCCCTTTATTATCACATGTAGTCTGATGAGATATATATATATATATATATATATATATATATATATATTCCTTTATAGATAAAGATATTTAACTAAATGCTATGTTTAACATTTACCGGCCTTAATGCCCGAGAAATTTTCATAGTAAGTATTCGTCCTCCGACAGGAATCGAACCTGTATCCTAAACGGAACCACGATATATCCTGACGTGCCTTTAACTGATTGGGTCACAGAGGAGCGTTCGGTAAGCAAGGTTGATTTTATTGTCTTTCAGCTACAATCTTCCATGATAGTTTCACGTACATTTATATCTGCTCATGGCGTATCAAAATGTAATCAAATGGCGCCACACATGAATGTACGTGTTGGTAAGTATTTATTAAATGTTAACTATGCGCTGTTGTTTTGTTCTACTGATATAAGGATAAGACAGACCACAAAATACAGCCTTAAGAGAATTCATAATAGATTAACACTAAGTTTCAAAGTGTAATGATTTACACAGTATTTATAGAAGGCGCCCGATATTATTCCTGTTCAGCTTGTTAATGTAACTTGGGACGATATTTACTTCACACCAGACGTAATAATAGGAAATTCACGCATTCCACTAGCGATTTTTGTGTAGTGGTGTAAAATACTGAAGATTACAGGTTTTAGAGAAAGAAAAAAACATATGACACATGGGATGACGATGATATCAAAAACGATAAAGACATCTAGCATGCTGACATATAAATTACCCTATCATGGTGTCTTTTCTTGACACGATCAGATGCGAACTAGAAAAAATTCTTAATATCTGTATATTAAAAATAAACAAGTATAATGCTTAGGAGGTGACGTAAATTTTTGCTTTTTGACATCTCTTTCGTGTGACATGTCTCTTCGGGACGCGCTAATTATGACTCTCCATAAATGATTTGTAGCTCTTAATAAAGTTAGTCTATTCGCCGTCTTCCTCACTGGCAGAAATATCTAAACTATAGTGATTTTCTAATCCCGGCTTAGATGTGGCACAAGGCCGAAAGTATGGGGTACCCAGTGAGGATCGAACGCCCTACTCAGTCGTAACTGATCTAGCAAGACAAGTTTACTAACCATTACACCACGTCGAGTTGCCCATAGTGATTTTCCAAGCGTAGCTCAGATGTGGCACAAGGCCGGAAGTATGGGGAACCAAGTGAGTATCGAACTCATTACTCAGTCATAATTGTTCTAGCGAGACAAGCTTGCTAACCATTACACCATCCCGAGGTGCCCAAAATTTCTAAACTATATGTTGTATACAAAAACTTCCATGGCTCAGTTGTTAACAAATGCCTTTGATCGAGGGATATCTGTTTGTTTTGGTGAATATGATCATTCTTCGAACCTCGTGAATTGGTGCTGTAGGATAAAATAAAAAAAGAACTGTACCAAATATCATAGACTATATCACTTGAGGACATCTTATACGATTTAGCTCAAACAAGTCAGTCGATGTAAAAACTGGAATTGTAGTATTCAATACCTCCAAATCCAAGCTACTAACGTACCATCATAGCAGAGAAGAATCAGAATGTTCTCTTGTCATGATAAAAGTTTGTAATCGCAATGATGGTCTATGCTTCGAACGTCACTTGGGACTCAAGATTGCTCCAGATCTCATGGAACTTACACGAACCACTGTTAAGAAGACTGGGAAAATTGTCCCTTTGTTAGACCGACCCTGAATATAGCTGACCTCTCCTGCAATGCTGTATATCTTCAAGACTCATATCGGGACAAACATGGCGTACTGTACCTATATATGTGCTGGTGATGTTCAACCCCAGATCTCCAGCTTTGATAGTGTTCAAAAGATTCTATAAATTCTTGTGTGTGAGGACTTATCTTCCAAAATACACCCCCCCACTCCTGCATAGACGAAACGTCGCATTCTTTCCTCTAATCTATCGCTATTTTCATTGCATATATGCCTTAGTTCCAGTTGTTTCAAACTTTACAGCAAAGACCCGATATGCTATATATACAGAACCGAATCATAGTGATTCCTTTCTCAATACATTGGTTAAGAAGGAAGTTCCATTCGGAGAGAGTTTTTTTTCCCAAGAATTTCTACATTGTGAAAGTGACGTTCGAATGTTGAAATTGTCTGTCTTTGGTGATATCATATCAACCGTGGACGCCTGCAATTTTAAGGCGCTTTTTATATCTGTTCGGAATTCACGTATTCCTGCCATACACTTCTTGATGAAAACTTACATCACTTGCTTTATCGAAATGCCCCAAGTTTATGTCTTCAACAATTACTTCGCATCAAAAACACAATGCATTTCTAACTATTTCGTTATATTGCTGTAAGAGCAGGAGCGAAAGGATCAAGTGAAAATGCATTGCGACCCCTATTTATTGCTCAAAATCAATGGACTTAGGAAATATGTTAAAAGGTCATTCGGTATATGTTTATTGAATAGTAATCTAATAGGCACCGTGGAGTAATGGATAGCGGCTCGGATTGAAAATACGGAGAGCCGAGTTTGTTTATACTAAATGAAAGCATCCTGAAAAATGGGATTACATTATGAAAAAAGATGCTTATTAGCCGTGTAAAACTATAAAGGTAATAGAACGCATAAGATTTAGCTTAAACTTTAAAAAATATTATTATTATAGATATATTTACTTTACAATTCAACATTAAGCCGTTGAACTTAGTACTATAGATTTTAAAGAATTTACCCATCATCTCATCAGTCAGTCTATCTATCTATCTATCTATCTATCTATCTATCTATCTATCTATCTATCTATCTAATTCAGTCTTCTCAATGTCTGTCAATATATCTGACTCTGCTCAATATATGTCAATCAAGCTATCTAACTCTGCTCAAAATCTATCTATCTATCTATCTATCTATCTATCTATCTATCTATCACTGCTGTTTTTATCTATCTATTACGACTTGCTATCTACCCATCTATCTCTTACAATTTTTCCTGTTACACATTTTCCTATCTGTCCGCTCACTAGCTATTTATCTATCTGTTATAGTTTTTTCCATATCTATCTATCTATCTATCTATCTATCTATCTATCTATCTATCTATCTAATTCAGTCTTCTCTATGTCTGTCAATATATCTGACTCTGCTCAATATATGTCAATCAAGCTATCTAACTCTGCTCAAAATCTATCTATCTATCTATCTATCTATCTATCTATCTATCTATCTATCTATCACTGCTGTTTTTATCTATCTATTACGACTTGCAATCTACCCATCTATCTCTTACAATTTTTCCTGTTACACATTTTCCTATCTGTCTAGCTATTTATCTATCTGTTATAGTTTTTTCCATATCTATCTATCTATCTATCTCTATCTATCTATCTATTATTATCTAATTCAGTCTTCTCAATGTCTGTCAATATATCTGACTCTGCTCAATATATGTCAATCAAGCTCTGCTCAAAATCTATCTATCTATCTATCTATCTATCTATCTATCTATCTATCTATCTATCTATCTGCTGTTTTTATCTATCTATTACGACTTCTATCTACCCATCTATCTATTTTCCTGTTATATTTTTTTCCGCTCCTAGCTATTTATCTATCTGTTATAGTTTTTCCATATCTATCTATCTATCTATCTATCTATCTATCTATCTATCTATCTATCTATCTAATTCAGTCTTCTCAATGTCTGTCAATATATCTGACTCTGCTCAATATATGTCAATCAAGCTAACTCTGCTCAAAATCTATCTATCTATCTATCTATCTATCTATCTATCTATCTATCTATCTATCTCACATCCTGTGCATATCGAAACCTAAATAAAATCACCATCTATTAGAAGGTCCAAATTCTTATGCGCTCTGCGCCATGAATCTCAGTTCCGATTAAAGTTTTAATTTTAATTCCCATTACCTCGGCAGTCGATGACCGAATCCCAGACAATAGAAGATATAATCGGGCGTCATCACACAGTTTCCAACTTTCACTGAATTCTGTCGAGATAAGCGGCATGATTGCCAAGTAAGAAGCAGCAGACGCCAGTTTACATACTCTCGCACCACCGTTAGGCGTCACCACATGACACTTCAGCGATTGCAAAGTTCCTCGCTTATTACCCAAGGGACATTGATTATGGACACGAGTCTTCGTTTCCATTGGCTGTCAGCAATGGTCATTTCCGTCTGTCACAAGGAGCACGCCACCCTCAACGACCGCCAACTGTGTGCTTCTAAATTCTTTTCGTTTTATTGATAACAAAGAGAGATTCCACTGGGTCGATGCACACTCACAAAACAACGCCTTAATAGTGTTAGCTAGCGCATGTGCAAACGAGCTGAAAGATTGAACGCCATTTTGAAATTTTCCTCGTTATTCCGCCGGATATAGTTGCAGCGACAAGAAAGAAAAGGATAGCCGAGGATATTGACATTTCTAACCTTAAAATTTTGAGGTCTATATCTGTAATAAAAGAGTGTCAGACAAAAATTAATTTCAAATCTACAAGGGGCTACACTTCTTATTATATGTAACCGGATATTAAACTGTTCTTTGCCAAACCATTTTGGAGAAGAAAAACCTGTCAGGAGGTGAAGATTAGAAATGTCCTTTCATTGAATCGTCTTCTAATTAAGCAGAACGCATTTGATAGAAATATTCAAACTTTTAGGATCTATGAACTGAAGAAGTGTGAGAATAACACTGCGACGAACAAATAAAGATAGGAAATATTCTGTTTTTAGAAAGAGAGCATTGTTTAACATGGTTCTTGTCACGTTTCAAAAAGACAAATATATAAGGCTATCATTCGTCTTTGTTTTGAATATTAGTGCCACATCTTGTCTGGTGTTCCTACTATATATTTAGAAATAACTGATAAAATCCAAAGAAGAATCTGCAATGTTATTGGTCCTTACATGGCATCTCGACTTCAGCCCCCTTCCCGTCGCCGTAACTTAGCTTACCTGTGTTTTTTTTTCTTTAAATATTGTTTTAATTAACTTTCTTTTATTGTACCTAGATTTTATAAATTTAAGCGTAATACTAGAAAAGGATAGCCGAGGATATTGACATTTCTAACCTTAAAATTTTGAGGTCTATATCTGTAATAAAAGAGTGTCAGACAAAAATTAATTTCAAATCTACAAGGGGCTGCTCTTCTAATTATATGTAACCGGATATTAAACCAAACCATTTTGGAGAAGAAAAGCCTGCCATAGGGTGAAGATTAGAAATGTCCGTTCATTGAATCGTCTTCTAATTAAGCAGAACGCATTTCATAGAATTACTAGATTGACGACAACGTCTCATCATTTTTACTTTTGAAATGGCTAAATACAACCGTTAATTTTAATAACAGTTTCTTCTATCGTACCTCTCGCTTGTGCAACTCTGTTCCGTCTTCTTCCTTACCAGTCAACTTTGATCTTTAAATATTTAAATGCATTATCTATCGTCATCTACTGTCTTCTTAATTCATTTTCTTTATCCGTGATAAGACGCTACCATATTGAATCATTTTTAATGTTTCGTTCATTGAATATTTGTATAAATATAAAATAAATATCTAAATACTGAGATATATACTGAAAATACATAGATAAACAATCCCACATAGCAGCATATTCAATTTTTTTTTTATATTTTCTCAAGAAACCACTACAGTCATTAAATAGTCCCCTTGTGGATAGCAACAAATTACTTGTCCTCTTAAATGACGAAAGATTTGATTTTAAATAATATGTTTACTGGAAAAGCCTTTAAAAGATAACCTTAAAACTACACAAGCGCATCACTTAAGCCAGTTTAAATATAAATTTTATTATAAAAAATTCATATAGTATTTATTCCAGGAAACATTGATGTGTATTTTTAATCATTTAAACACAAGCAACAAATGGGGGCGTTTTTTTTTTTCTCATATTCTCTCACATAAGGGTCTCTACACTTATATGAGAAAATAGGAGATGAACACCCTCATGGAGAAATAACAATAAAATAACAGTAGCTAAGAATACAATAAATAACGATTGACATTGTATTTAAAAATTTGAAGATCAATGTTGACTGGAAAGCGAAACGCCGAAACTGATTTCAACACGCCAGAAGTCCATGAGAAGAGACTATTCGCATAGAACTTACATCTAGCCATTTCAACTGTAAAATGATGAGAACTTGCCTCAAATCTAGTAATGGGCTCAAATTCCAAATGTCTCATGACCATAGGGTGAAGTTAATCAGAGCAATCACCATGAAGCTATTTATAGAAAAGGCACAGCAAAGCTACGTTGATTATTGTATTAATCTTGATGTTTATTAGTCACAATGACTCGATTTTTCGTTCATGCGTCTGTCTTTGTATTTAGTAATCAGTAAAGCAGTGTAAATTCCATCCGAACACTTCATCCAATCCAGAGTGGTAGTTTTTTTTTCCGCTTTCCAAACCACGGCAAATATTTCATATCGTTACGTACTCAACAATTTTAGACACAATTTTTACGTACATTCCATTTAGCGTGTGTACGTGACTTTATATATATATATATATATATATATATATATATATATATATATATATATATATATATATATATATATATCGTCGAATATGTAGTGGGAAGGAATGTCAATCAACTTAAGTTAGTAAATTAATTCATGAGTGAATACTTTCATTATTCGTTTTAATCTTCTATACAAATAAAATATTTCTCTGCATTTTGTCAAAATTACTTCCCGAGCGAAATGAACCTTTACGCCTACATTTCTTAGACTGCAGTCTTATTTGTTCAAGCATTTCATGTGAGGCACTCAGGTACGTTTGTCTATTAAGTTATTATCTTGCTTCAATTTTGTCTGGAAATAGGCTTTGTCGTCGCCGTCTTTGACGTTGCTGTCATTCTGTTACTAATCTTTTCTTCCGAGAGATATTTCCATTTCACTGCTATATTAAACATACAAAGCTTTAACATCAAAAGATATTGAGAAAAAAGCGATTTATATAATACCAGAAGTAATCAATGAATCACTGAAGTTTTAAAATTTTTAAAGGACACGGATTAATTAAACGATTCATTTGATCTTTAAATCGGCTTTGTCGTTGCTGTCTTTAATTTGTGAATTCTTTATCTCCGATTTATTGAATCATAATACACTGCTTTAAGACTTTTGTCTCATTGCATCTCATTAAATATTCTAACAATTGACTTTATTATTGACGGCACGGGTATAATAGTACTTCACTAATAGTTCGGCGAGCGTAGCGATCAAACGTTATAATGATGAATAAGACAGTTAAGCTTTAGCTCGAACGAAATATCTCACGTGCATAGAAATCAGAATGAGAAAATTTCACCCACATAGACTGAAAATAAGGTTTTGGATCGAAATTTCAAGAACATTACCGAAAACGAAGATAATCACTTGAAGAATGTTAAAAATATACCAATCGAAACATTACATGAGCATGACAAGCAGGATAAATATACTATTCTGAAGGCCGATGATTTGATATTTGGACTTTCATGCTCACAAAGATATTATATAATGACGATATTAGTGATAATTCGTCATGTATTTCTCTTTTGAAGAATAATTCCGAGAAAAATATCAAATATTAAGTTTAGTCATGAATATTTTTTTTTATTATATTCTTCAATAAATAAAGAACAATTACAATTCCATTCAATTATATATATTCACCATTGATGCCTCACAAGATCAATTACAACTCAGTGAAGTCGATCCTCACTGAGTGCTCCAACCTTTTGGCCTTGTGCCACATCTAAACTACGTTTGATAAATTGTTATATATGTCACATTATTTGAAATAGCTTGTTACCACTTCGATACCTTGTCAGCAAATTTCGTTTTCGACATGAAAATGTTTTCGACGAACTCTCAATTCGTTTTTTATTCGATTATATTTCCCAATGCAAAAATTTTGTAATCGATCTAAACATACAAAACGTTTGGTACAACGTCAGTTGAATATCGCGTGGGGTGTGGTTTAAACCAAACCAAACAAGTTCAAAATATTTCAATATATTATACTTGATGTATGCAGCCTTGAAATGTCATAAAGAAGTACATTTCTCTTTGGAAGACACAGGGCCTTTTTCGACCAAACCTTTATGGATATCTTTCAGCTGCTGGACTTTTAAACGCGCATTTATTGTTTCATTTTTTTTCTCAGGATTCTAACTTATTATTAACCCGATGATCCCCTCATATGCACAACTTTGCCTTTCTTCCTTAGAACCCATATTTCTCGGTTAGTTATGGACAGTTATTTGTTTCAGTACACTGACTTTTGGCGTTGAACGTTGTCGTATGTTAGCGTACTTCAAATCTATTGTGAACTGTTATCTATGATTAGTAGTAAACAAGATGAATTCGTCATTCCAAATGGTTCTCAGAGAAGGAAATCATTTATGTCTCATTCTAATATAATTAAGATTAAAATATACAGAGAATCAATTTTCTTCTCTTTCAATTTTGGATTAAAGGTTTTCTGTCTTGTTTTGAACTTTCCGCTTTTGTCTTAAACGCTTCACTTTTTAGTATTAAAATATATTTGCTTATAACACAGCAAATACATGTTTAAGAAACAAGCAATGATTAAACAATATAAAATAACAATATATATATATATTTTTTTTACCCTGGAAATTTTACGCTTTTCTGCTTATTGCAAAGATACGTCCTAAAGGTATTTCTTTAAAAAAAAAAACATTAGCTCTTCGCTTGATCTTACGCACGAGCAACTGTTTTAAGCCTGGGAATATTTGTCAGTAACGCTATCGAAAATTTAATATTTTTCGGACCATCGCCTGAAGCAAACAGTAATTTGAATTAGTAGAAGCAAATTTATTTTCTTGGAAACCTTATTACTTCTTCTTGTTTTTACTAGATTTTCTTTTTTCGTGAGTGAGATTTTAGGGGTGGAAAATATAATAAGAATGTATATAGAACAGAGAGTAAGATATATTTATTCGATATTTTTAATAGTCTACAGTAAAAGAATATATATATATATATATATATATATATATATATATATATATATACATCTTTTTAGCAGTTCTATTAAATATGAATCTACGTTAAAATTCGATGATGATAAAAGACAGAACAATTCCACGTCAATTCTAATTCAGGAATACAATTCGCATTTGGCAATTTTATTTTATCTCATAAATCACTAATGGAGAATATTTTATATTAA